AAGAGGTCCCATAGATTTCCGAGGTTTCCTCACAGAAACCCATGTTCCTGGGGTCTGGATCAGTCCCATGCTGGTATTCCAGGTATCAGTCTGGGGAGCAAGAGTTCCCTCATGTTCAGTTCAAGTGTTTCTGTGGATTTCTCGAGGCTGGTCTGGACCCCTTTGCTCTTCACTTGTCCTTCTCTGCATATGGATTCCAGTTCAGTTCAGTGATAAGTTGTGGGTATCGGCTTTTTTTTTCATATAAGTCAGTCATCAATCTCATTATCAGGGGAGGGCATTTAAAGTAGCCTCTCCTCTGTTGCTTAGATTGTTAGCTGGTGTCATCTTTGTAGATCAAGACATTTCCCTAGTGCCTGATTTCTCTGTAAACAAAAAATTTCTCCCTCTATTACATCTGCATTCTTGTTATCATCTATTCTTCCCCAGACTCAACCTTTCTGCTCCTTCATGTCCTCTGCATCCCTTGTCTTCTCCCCTTCTCATTCTCCTAGCTCCATCCCTCCTCTTCCCATGTTCCCAATTTGCTCAAGAGATCTTGACCCTTTCCCCTTCTCCAGGGGACCATTATGTCTTCTTAGGGTCCTCCTTGTTTATTAGTTTCTTTGACAGTGTGGATTGTAGGCTGGTAATTCTTTACTCTATGTCTAAAATCCGCATATGAGTGAGTACATACCATGTTTGTCTTTTTGCGATTGGGTCACCTCGCTCAGAATCGTTTCTTCTAGTTCCATCCATTTGCCTTCAAAATTCAAGATTTCATTGGTTTTTTTTTCCCACTGACTAATAATCCATGGTGTAAAAATACCACATTTTTTCCATCCATTCTTCAGTTGAGGGACATCTGCTCAGAATCGTTTCTTCTAGTTCCATCCATTTGCCTTCAAAATTCAAGATTTCATTGGTTTTTTTTTTTTCCCACTGACTAATAATCCATTGTGTAAAAATACCACATTTTTTCCATCCATTCTTCAGTTGAGGGACATCTAGGTTGCTTCCAGATTCTGGCTATTACAAATAGTGCTGCTATGAACATCGTTGAACAGATGTCCTTGTTGTATGAATGTGCTTCTCTTGGGTATATGCCCAAGAGTGGAATTGCTGGATCATGTGGTAGACTGATCCCATTTCCTTGAGAAGTCACTACACTGATTTCCAAAGTGGGTGTATAAGTTGGCACTCCCACCAGCAGTGAAGAAGTGTTCCCCTTTCTCCACATCCTCTCCAGCATAAACTGTCATTGGTGTTTTTGATTTTGGCCATTCTGACCGAAGATGGTATCTCAGAGTTGTTTTGATTTGCATTTCCTAGATGGGTAAGGATATTGATTACTTTCCTAAGTGCCTTTCAGCCATTTTAGATTCCTCTATTGAGAAATGTCTATTTAGTTCTGTATCCCATTTTTTTAATTGGTTTGTTTGGTGTTTTGGACTAGCTTCTTGAGTTCTTTGTATATTTTGGAGATCAGCCCTCTGTCAGATGTGGGGTTGGTGAATATTTTCTCAGTCTGTGGGCTGCCGTTTTGTCTTGCTGACTGTGTCCTTTGCCTTACAGAAGCTTCTCAGTTTCAGGAGGTCCCATTTATCAATTGTTGACCTCAGTGTCTGTGCTACTGGTGTAATGTTCAGGAAGAGGCTTCCTGTACCAATTAGTTCAAGGGTATTTCCCACTTTGGTGGCTCATGCCTTTAATCCCAGCACTTGGGAGGCAGAGGCAGGAGGATCTCTGTGAGTTTGAGGCCAGTCTGGTCTCCAGAGGGAGTGCCAGGATAGGCTCCAAAGCTACACAGAGAAACCCTGCCTCGATAAATAAAAACAAACGAGTAAAGGAGACGGCAGAGAGCAGACACCTGTGAAAACCTAAGCAGGGGCTTGTCTAGTAATTGACAACATGATTTGCTTCGTAGGAACTTGTGATTCCAAAGGGTAAAACATACTGTAAAGTCAATAAATTACTTTTATTTTAAAATGTAAGGGTATGAAGGAATTTGAATAAATTCAACAAATAACAAAATATGATCTTAGATTTTAAATATGATCATGTAGGAACTACTGTTTATGAGAAATACTTTAAAACACTTAGTAATCTTAAAACATAAATATAAACAATTACTTTAAATAATGGCCACAATAAATTTCATCCCATCAAGAGGGAAGCAGAGACAGGTGGATCTCTGTGAGTTCAGGGCTAGCCTGGTCTACAGAGTAAGAGTTCCTGCACAGGCTCCTGACTTGGGTGCAGGGGGGGGAGACACTGACAAAAAAAAAACTGCTTGTAAATTTACTGATCAATACAGTTAAAATTCAAAATTACCTAAGGTGGATCAAGGTTAAACCTTAGCTTCCTTTGTTGGTGGACTGTAACCTGTGAGTCATATGAACTTTTTCCTCCTCAAGTTGGTTCTGGCCAGGCTTTGTCAGAGTAATAAGAAACGCACAGATGAATATTGACACATACTTGGACTTATAAAAAAAAAAAAAAAAAGCCTACCTGGGTACGGCGGGAAAGGTGGGCCAGCAAAGTCCCTTGATGTAACAGAATCTGGAGGACCAGCATGGATGTTTCCCAGAGTAGGCGGTGGGGATAGGGGTGGCCTACTCATAACGGGACTTCTTGGATCTTCTGCAATGGGAGGGCCTCTGGGGTCTCTATCCTGGGGAACCGGTGAAGGGATGGAGCCAGGGCCAGCTCCCTCTGATTCAGCAGGAACAGAGTTGGGCAGAGTTGAGTTCTGTAAGAGAGTGAAAATCAGCAGTTAGTAAAGCCACTTGATGACCAGCTCCTTTCCTGGAGTGTCAGGCATAGAAGAAGGCAGTCCATGGCATTCCACAGTACCTGCGAACAGGTTCAGTTTCCACACCAGTGTAGGAGCTCCTTATGTAATATCCTAAGTATTTTTACTAACTCAGCAGAAAACTTTAAGCATGGTAGTAATAGTCTACCTGGGTCTCCCTGAAGCACAAGGACATTTGTGCTTCATTTGTCTCAAAAGAGACACTTTAAAAAAGATAGATAAACACTAGGTGGTGGAGGCACAAGCCTTTAATCCCAGTACTCAGGGGTATATATCTGTCAGTTCAAGGCCAGCATGGTCAAAAGAGTGAGTTTCAGGAGGGGCTCCATAGCTTCCATAGCTACTGGGAACCCCTATCTCAAAGTGAACAACAACAACAAAAAAAGATAGATTATTTTCAAAATGACCAAAATCAATGCTATATTATAAAACTAAAATATTTTAAAATTTAAGATTTAAAGGAAGAAAATCTGAAATAGTATAGCTAGCATAGAAGCTTTCAAGTTCATCTAAAAGTTGTTCTTATTTAAATGAGAGATAATCAGGTTTCTTTCTCTTGTTTTTTAATATTTTTTATTTCAGATGTATGTGTGTTTTGCCTGCATGTATGTCTGCATTAACACATATATTCAGTGTTCTCTACGGATAGAACAGAACTTCTAATCCCTTGAACCTGGAGTCAAGAAGGGTTGTGAGCCTCCAGTTGGGTGCTGGGAATCAAACCCAGGTCCTCTAGGAGAGCAGCCAGTGCTCTTAACCTGGAAGCCATTTCTCCAGTCTATTTGGTTGGTGCAGGCAAGATCTGCTTATATAGCCCACACTAGCTTTTAATTTACAATCCCCCTCCTCAGCCTGTCAAAATGTCAGTATTATATGCATCATCAAAACTTGACTTGTGATCTGTACTATTTCACAGAAGGTTGCAAGCCAACAATGAAAGTATTAATGCTAAGTAGAGGTATTTTTATTAATATCTTGATATCACAAAGTAGAATAGCTCTAGCCTTATTCTAATAAAACCTAGAAACTAGCTGTGGATTAATGGGTAGAATTCAATTTCTAATACTTACCACTGGGTCACCTTGGGTTTCATTCTTTCTCAGTTCCAATTTTGAGGATACTGGCCCATCTAGACAGAAAAATTAAACCAGGAAAAATTCATGAGTTCTCACTTCATTATCAGACAGTTTCCAGATCCAAATGACACTAACGTGTTCCACTCCCCTTACTGGGACAGGGAATAACTTGACACGAATACACTAGTATTCCCCCGTAGGGGCCTCAAAGCAGCCTGAGACTTTTGGATATTTCAGTAGAAGAGACATTCTTTTGCAGTGTACTGCTTTTCTTCCTGGCTGGCTCCTAGTTATTTTGATGCTTCAGCAGCCTAAGTGATTAGGCTTAGATAGCCCAATAGATTCAGCATCTATTTTCTGTCTTTTCTGTGTGCCCTCTTTTCACTCAGTACATAATATATACTTGTAATAAAGCATTCTTATAGGTAACTCAACAAATACAGAGCCAGGCAGTTTCGGGGCAAGCCTTTAATCCCAGCACTAGGCAGGTAGAGACAGGCAGATCTCTCTGAGTTCCAGGCTAGCCTGATCTACAACAGCTAGTTCCAGGACAGCCTGCAAAGCCACAAAGAAACAATGTCTTGAAAAACCAAGGAAAAAAATCATCTACAATGAGGTAACACAGACCCAGAAGAACAAACATGGTATATACCCACTTATGAGTGGATAAATGCTATTAAGAAAAGGATAATCATGCTATAATCACCGACCCAGAGAGCCTAAGTAACAAGAAGAGTGTGTGGGGGGAGAGAGACATGCATGAGTCTCCCTATGAAGTGTGGCACTGTGGGGGTGGCCTTCGAGTCTCCTAAGTTCAAGTTATGCACAGTGTCACAGTTCACCTCCTGTGTCCTGGGGAATCAAGATGTAAAACTCTCAGCTCCTTCTCCAGCACCATGCTTGCCTGCATGACCCCATGTTTCCCACTGTGATGACAGTGGAGTAAACCTCTGAAACCATAAGCCACCCGAGTAAATGTTTTCTTTATAAGAGTTGCTGTGGTCATGGTGTCTCTTCACAGCAACTGGAACCTTAACTAAGACACCAACCAAATGGGGCAGGAGAGATGGCTCAGCAGTTAGGAGCACTGGCTGCTCTTCCAGAGGACCTGGGTTCATTTCAAGCACCCACATGGCAGCGCACAACTGTCTGTAACTCCAGTTATGCAAGAAAAAGAAACCAATAAAATAAACAGAAACCATTAAATAATTACAAAAATACCAAGGGAAAAGAAAGTTGGATTTGGAGGAATGCTATACACAGACACAGGTTTCCAATGTTACTTGGGGCGAGGGGGGATGGGAGGAGACTGTCCGAGAGACTGGAGGAATAACTGGTGAACTGATTCCTTACTATAATGGTACTTCCTACTAAGACCCATACATGTTAATTATTGAAGACATCCAAATGAATGCATTAGTTCCTCAGCTAGTCTTACAAACCCTCTTCGTGCCTCAATAAACAATTGGGAGCTGAGCTTAGCAGTTCTTGCCTGAAACCCCAACACTTCAAAATTCAGAGAAGAGGATTACCATGAGTTTGAGGCCAGCAGGGGCTACACTGTGAATTCCAGGCCAGCTGGAGCTACAGTGAAACACTGTCTCAGAAAAACAGTAATTAAAATAAAAATAGTAATTTATATGAGGTAGAGTGACCTACACTCAGGAAGCTAGACTTTTAAAGCAATTTAATGTACTACAAGGTCCCAACACAAAATGAATATTCACCGACCATGGCTCCAACACACAAAATAATAGTGAACCATGGCTCCAAATTAAGTAATATTAAAAAAATTCTATTAAAAATCTATTTCTTACAGGATAAATTTAAATGAAAAAATACAAATACAACTTTAATTAAGCTCCCCTTATCTATTTCAGGAGCAGTCTTGTCCATCTATCTGAAATGCCCTGCACTCTGACCACCTCATTTAGCTAGACTTTTGAGTAAATCTTTCATCACCTCTTCAGAGCTGTAGCCTCCTTCTCCTTTGCCCTATGTATGTATCATACTTCTCTTCATTCCAACTTAAAAATTTGCATCATAACCACTGTGGTACTTACTCTTTTTTTTTGGATATTCATATGGGTGTCAGAATAACTAATTTGTGAAGCCCTTTGCATTAGACAGATTATAGTACCTTAACCTTGACCACCACTAATTGTTACTGCAGTTGCTGGTTATAGTACGGCCGTCACAAAACTAAGATCCATAGAGCTATTTACTATATTTTCAAACCAATTCCTCACTAAAATTTTTTGTTTATTTCTTTTTCAACACAAGAGCTTCTATGTGTAACAGCCAAGTACAAGTGTACAAAGAGCACGACACACATGCAGAATGAAGAGGAAACAAGAAGCCAGTTTCCATATGTAAGTGCACATCATTTTCTAAGTCACTCTTGACTTCTAAATCAAGATTACCATCATCTGTTATATAGTCTCCAAACAAGCAAGTCCAAACTTTGGTCTTCATCAGGCTCTCCATCAGAGACTGGATATTGAACAAAAGAAGAAAATAAAAAGAGAATGTAATCACTTGGGCTAATAGCTTTACAATTTAGAACTTAATTAACAGTAATTTAAAATTCAATCCAGAGCCAATGAGATGGCTTGGCAGGTAAAGATATCTGCCACTAAGCCAGATCATATGAGTTTGAACCCCAGAACCCACATGGTAGGAGAATTTGCTCCCAAAAGCTGTCTTCTGAACTCTGTACACACATCATGGAAGGCACATACCACACACATACACATACAAGTAAGTTTCTAAATATAATACATTATTAAATTAAATCCTCATGTGCTCTAATTTTCTCCCTGCAATTAGGACACATAAATTTTTGTTTGGTTTTTATTTTGTAACTGCAACATTTATTGACTATTAAATCTTTAAAAAAAAAAGAAAGAAAAGAAAAGAAAAACCTTGCTGAGAATGGTACAACATCTTTTATCCCAGCACTCAGAAGGGAGAGGCAGGCAAATCTTTGTAAGTCTGAAGCCAGCCTGATCTACAAAGTGAGTTCTGGTAAGAAAGGACTGCCTCGTGAGACCCTGTATCCAAAAAGAAAGAAAAGAAGGAAGGGAGGGAGGGAATGAGGAAGGCAGGCAGGGAGGAAGGGGAGGGAAAGAGAAAGGGAAGGAAGGAAAGAGAGAAAATCAAACAATATTTTATGATGGTTCGACTTCCTAGCCACTATATGACTACAAAAGAGTAAAATATTTTCTTCTGTGTCATCTGCACCTGAGTGTGCAGGGGCACATCCGGCTGCAAGAGCATGAGGCAGGAAGACACAAGTGTCTTCTTCTCTCACACTCTAGCTTACGGCCTGGAGACAGGACCTCTCATGGAATCAGAACTCCACTACTTGGAAGCTTAGGCTCTCATCAAGCTCTGGGATCCACTGTCTCTGTCCCCAGTGCTGGGGCTTACAGGCATGTACAGCCTTGCTCATCTTTTAAGTGGGTGCTTAGAATTCAAACACAGGTCCTCATGCTTCAGAGCAAGTGCACTAACCCACTAAACCATATCCCCAGTCCCTAAAATATTTTCTTCTGGCGTTTCTTCCATGTCTTACTAAGTAAGAGTTGAACTGGAGAGACAGCTCAGCAGTTAGGCACTTGTTACTCTGCTAGAGCATCTAACCTCCTTTCCCAGCACCCATATCAGGCAGCTCACAGCAGTTTATAACTCCAGCTCCAGGAGAACCAATGGTCTCTTCTGGCTGGGATGGGCATCCACAGAGTGGCCATTAACATATAGGGTAAAAGCTGTGTGGTGACTTCTGCTTTCTGAGGGGAGGGAAACTCACACACAAAGACCCACAAAAAATAAGCCATAGATTCTTGATTTATTCAAGGAAACAACTAGCTGGAGAGTCCAACTGAGACAGACAGACACATTGTAAAAGGATTGGAATGGAGCCCTGGAAGTTCTCCAACTGTGTTTTTGCTGCTGTTGCTTTTTGAGACAGTCTGACCATATAGCCCTGGCTGGCCTGGAGCTCAGACACATCTGCCTGCCTCCCAGTGCTAGGACTGAAGGTGTGCACACCATGCCTGGCTCAGCAGTGCTGTTTTAATCTCCTGAAGGAAAGAGTATTTTCTAGTAACACAGGTAACGTTGCTTCTGAGCCTACTGACCAAAACCAAGTGTGATGTACAAGTAACAAGATGACTGTGCACCATGCCTTTCTCTGGAAGATCCCATTTGAAACTACTTGCTAATCTCTTCCCTTTCTTCAAGGCTTCTGGAAAAACAAAAATGCCCTCCAACCCTGAGCAGTGCTGAGGTCTCACATCCCATTCCTTTTTACTTAGGGAGAACCCTGAGCTTCCAAGTAGAGTAAGGAAGTTAGAGGAAGGAAAGCACAGTCATCCCTCGGCATCCACATTGCACTGCTCCAGGATACCTGTCACTACCATTGCATGAAGACAAACTGCATGGGTGTTCACGTCCTTTACATCAGATAGCAGTGCTTGCATATAACCTATATGTATCTTCATGTACACGTCAAATCCTCCTAGACGACTTGTAATAACGAATGCAACACAAACGCTGCATTAACAGTTGCAGGGAATGAGAGGAAGTCTGCACATGCACAGTCAGAGGCCATTATTTTCTTTTATTTATTATTAGTGTTTGTTTTGGTATGTCTGTGAATTGAGTATGTAGGGCAAGCACATGAAAGTCAGAAGACAACTGAAGTCAGCTGGCTTTCTCTTTTTACTTTTCTGTAGTTTGGAGACCAAACTCAGGTCGTCACTTTTACTCAATGAACCCTCTCATCAGCCCAAATTTGTTAAGAGCACCATTCTGTGATTGGTTGAATTTAGAGAGATAGAGAGTCCAGTATATGGCAAACTGTAAGTAAAACTAAAGCTAGAATGTCTTGAAAACATTCTTATTATTTTTTTACATTTATTTATTTAGGTGGGGAGCAACATATGTGTCATGGCATATGCCGGAAGATCAGAGGGCAATTTAGGAGTCAATTCTCTCCCTCTACAGAGTGAGTCCTAAGAATCAAATGAACTGGTGTCAGGAAGTGTACAGCAAGTGCTTTAACACACTCAGTACACTCAATGGCCTAGGTAATGTTAATTTTGTATTCCTACAATTAGAGTCATGTTCCAATTAGTGTATGTGGGTGTGAACCGAGAGCCATATGGACGGGTTCAAGTACACACACCACAAAAAACCTACACAGGTCAGAAGACAACTTTTGGGGTCAGTCGTTTCTTTCCACCTTGCTTGAGACAGGTCTCTCCACTGCTGTGGAAGCCAGGCGAGCTGACCTCAAGCTTCTGCCAGACTCTGCCTCCATCTCTCTACTACAGAGCACTGGCATTAGATACTATGCTACAAAACCCAGCTTCTAAGATTCTGGGGATCTGAACTCCTATATTGGGCTTAGGAAACATGATTTACCCTGGGAGCCATCTTCCCAGCCTGAGTTTAATGATTTAAAAAGCATTTGTAGAATGAAGTAACACAAACTTAGTAGAGATAACAAGAATATTCAGCCAAAACATATAAACTAAAACCCAGTTTCTTAATCAACAGAAGCAGATGTCGGCATAACAAGAAAAGGTAAAAATCATTATTTTCTTTATTTACTGATAAACACCTGGCATAAATATGAGACGACAAAGACATGGGGTGATAATATATATATTAAAATTTATGTATCTTCAAGAAGCATTTGAAATGTGACAAAAGACACAACAATAGCAATAAAAGCTGTTAAAATTATTTGTATTTCCAATTAAGTATAAAATTGTGGCCAACTAGTGACTAAAACCAAGGAACCATTACCTTGATCTCATTTTCTTTTTCATTTAGGACTTGCTCTGCCTGTACTTTGGATCTTCCACATATTGCTTTCTGATTATTCAGTTCGTCAGTTTGTTCTTTCGTTTTTTCAAATTCCTCTAAAAGCTGATAAGAAAACAACAAGGATGTGAAAGACAACACAATGTTTAGATGCATTTATTTAAATATTTATATGCATTATTAAAAGATATTAAAAAGTTAGAGTTGCTATTTAAAAAAGGAACTCAGATGTGGCTCCCATTGATAAAGAACTTTCAAAAAAGAAGACTGTGAAAATAACCAATATTCTCCAACTGATTTAAAAGGTAAATTTTTATCAAGTACAAGATTTTGACACACACTTGTCTGATAAATCTAGTCAACTCTTTCTTTGTATCACATATAATATGTCAGACCTCATTATTTAATGATATTTTTTTAGTCACCATGCTGCTTTGTTCAGGGTTAACTGAAGATGGCTAACCCTCAAGCACACTATTGATCTTGAACAGATATTCTGCATATGCTCTGAGCCTGAACTGCACTGAAAGTTCCAGTCTAGCCTGGGCTACATGGCAGGACTTTGAAGTGAGGAGGAGGCACTATTGATTACAGTATGGGAAATCTACACAGGAGTCCTCACCACCATGTTCTCTGAAATCTAAGATGACAGAACAAAGATGTAAAAGGAAAAGGCATCAACCCAAAAAGAAAATGAACAAATAGCACGTAGGGACACAGCTGTGATAAAAAGACTCCACAGACAATAGACAGAAGAAAGCTAAGCCAGTTAGGCAAACAGAAAATAAGATGATTTCACACAACCCAGAAAGGCTCATGATTTGAAAGCAGTACTAACAGAGGGAGGAGTGGAAAACAAAAGGGAAGAACTGGGGAACTGGAGAGACAGTTGAGGAGTTAAAAGCACATGCTGCTCTGGCAGAGGATCCACGCTCAATTCCCTGCACCTGCGCTGAGCAGCTCACAAGTGCCTATACTTCCAGAGGAGCTAATGTCCTCTTCTGGCCTCTAGGGTGCCTGCACACACATGCACACACCAACACCCAGAAGCACACACATACATTCTCCTGTTTTTTCTCTCCTTCTTCCTCCCTCCTGCTCCTGTCTTCTCCTAGACATGCATATACGCGTCTCATTCTCTGCCACTCATCTCTTATCTTTGTTTCCTTTATGCCTGCATATAGCTGGATGTTTCAGCCCTACTGGTGTGCTTCAATCATGCTGGAAGGTATTATGCATACACCAGAGAAAAAAATTATATCAATGTCACCTACCTGTGAACCATGCAAGATACAGTAACAACACACCTGCAACATATGCCTACTGGTACAGTAGTGCCATAAATGCTATGAAAGTAACCAACCACTTCCTAATTGGATTTAAGACGAGCCAGCTCAACAAGATGGAACCTAGCCCAGCACAGTCACACACATCTTTTATCTCAGTGATCAGGAGGCAGAGGCAGGTGGAATTCTGTGAGTTCAAGGTCAGCCTGAGCAGCATAGGGAGTTCCAGGATAGCCAGGATTACATAGAGAGATTCTGTCTCAAAAATTAAAAGCCAGGTGGGTGGGGGGAGATCCATTCCTGACACTGTTAAGGCCTCTGGTTCCTACTCACAGTTACACATGTATTCACATGCACACGTTAACATTCTCACAAACACACACACACACACACACACACACACACACACACACACACACAATCAACAAATAAAACTGATAAATTATGGGGAGATGGCTCAGAGGTTAAGAGCACAGACTGCTCTTCCAGAGGTCCTGAGTTCAATTCCCAGCAACCACATGTGGTTCACAACCATCCGTTATGAGATCTGGTGCCCTCTTCTGGTGTGCAGATATACATGGAAGCAGAATGTTGTATACATAATAAATAAATAAATAATGTTAAATTATTACAATAATTCCAGTAACGCACAGAATCAAGAGATTTCAGAATGCAAGTGTCCAACATATGAAGAAACATTATGAGACATCATCACATAATTTCAGAGAGCTAAAGTTAACAGAAGGATATTGTTTGTGAAGAAAAAAGAGCAGGAAACAAAGAAGGCAACATAATCTACACAGCATTCAAGTCCCAAAACCAAAAGTGGAAAGGGAAGACAATGCAGCAATGTCAAAATTTTATTTACATACACACTTTTGTGCTGTACGCAGTACAGCAGAAAGATCTCTGGGTTTCAAGTCAGTTCCCTGGTTATCCTGGAACTCACTCTGTAGACCAGGCTGGCCTGGAACTCAAGAGATTCACCTGCCTCTATCCTGAGTGCTGGGATCAAAGGTATGCACCACCACCAAGAGAATCCAAGTTCCCAAGGAAAATGGCTCCCAGAAGGCAATGAAGGAGGAGAGATGGCTCGTGTTGAAGAGTGCCCAGTGTTCTTGCAAAAGACCTCAGTTTGGTTTCCCTTACACATAGCAGGTGGCTCATAACTGCCTGTAATTCAGTTCTGTGGGGGATCTGATGCCTCTGACCTCCAGAGGCACTTGCACATGTGTGCACATAACAACACTCAAGACACACACATGCACATAATTAAAATTAAAAATTAGAAGAAGAGACAGAGGTGGCAGCAGGCAAGGTAACACACACCGATAAAACCAGCAATTTGGAGGCTGACTACCACAGTGAGTGCTAGGTCACCCTAAAATACACTAGAAGACTCTCTCTAAAAGAGTAAATAAAATAATAATAGTAGTAATAGAAGTTTAAATGAACAAATTAGCCAAAGTGGTTGAGTGAATGACATATCCATAGAGATAGATTACAAAAATATATTACAGGAAACCAAGCAATTATTAACAACAGGATAGTCAAGTCAGACAGGCTGCTTTTTAGACACTCATAATAATGGAACCAGACATTGTCACACCACTAGGGTGGGAAGATGGTAAAAGCTCTAACGCAAGAGAAAAGGGACAGTATGTCTTAAACAAGGTGAAGGTAAGGACCAACACCAAGTCATAACCTGTGCACAGTCGAACTCTCACAGCACACACACACACTCCTACCTCAATATGCATACTGTAGAAAGGAAGGAAGGGAGAGAGGGATCAAGCAAGGGAAAGGAAGGCAGGAAAGAGACAGATAGGGAAAGGGGGAAGACAGACAGACAAACAGAATTTTCTCGACAAAAATTGTACTGGGACAACAGAAGGGAGGGCACATGTGTTCAAGTGTCTAAGTGAGAGTGGAATGAGAATAAAAGCTAAGTCCCACTTTACCTGCCCCCAGGACTCCTTCTTCCTCTAGGCCCCAGTTGGTAATCTATTCACTCTTACTGCATTCTCTGCTGTGAGGAGTGGTGTTAGCTGCAGTGTGCTGTGAGTGTCAAAATGCTGACGGACAGCCTGGGCTTACTTCTTTCATGACAGAAGATGAGATGGAAGGATCCACTTTTAAATCCATTATGGGAGATGGAAGTCTGCATGGGACACTAGCTGCTCTCAAAAGCCTACTCATTCACTACACAACTCCACACATGGGTCAGTCGTGAGGTGTCTAGAACACCAAACGCTATATTCACATCTAAAAGAGTATCTGTAGGCAACAAACCTCCTTCAGGCTTTCCTCAAGTTGATAATTTTCATTCAGGGTATCTTGTATTACTTCCTTAAGGTGTTTTTCATTCATTTGAAATATACTGATGTTAGTTTTTGCCTAAGTAAAAGAAATACACAGTTTATAACAATTTAACAGAAAACCTCCTGTTTATGTAATCTCTGAAAAATACAAAGTTTAAGCAAAAGCCAAAACATGACACTATTAACAGCAGAAGCAGTATCAACACTCCTTTGATGCAACACTCATTTGTCAAGTGACTTTGAGCAAATTATTGAAATTCCATGTACTATACAGACAATTTTGTTAACTACTGAAATAGAAAGACAGAAAAGAACAAGTATTAGTTACTGAATTATTGGTTTATTTCAAAACTCACTTAAAACACTGCTTGCACTGCCTATTTGCCAAGCATGGCTTCACTTGCTACCAGGAACAGAATGACCTGAAGAAATCGCTGATACAATGGGTCATCATCCTTAGCAACCTGCTATTGCCATGTGCACTTCAGAAAAATCTTGCTTGCTTGCTGCCCACATTGTGATTTTAGAAAAGAAACCGGACCCAGAATTAAAGGCTTTCAGGAGGTGCCCTGGCTACAGTCCACTGGTGATGGTGACATCTCTCTTCCACAATCACTAGTGCAGGAGTAGTTATTCCAGAAAGATCCCACACTACTTACTCTTTGTCTCCTGCCCTAAACTTGGTACTTCAGGAAGCAACTCTGGTTAGGATCGTTACCTGTTACATAACTTCAAGAGTGCTCAGAAACAGCCATAGTTTAAATCTATCCAGGGGAAGATGAATGTCACTCAAGGTAACTCAAGTTAAAGCAAATGCATATTTAAGAGTCTCTATATTTCAAATACTAATGTACTATTTTATTACCTAATGTGATGGTTATTCTTGGTTATCAACTATATCTGGAATTAATGAAAACCCAAGCAGGCTATAAATAATTTTTCTCAATTAAATCATTTGAAGTTGGAAGACCCACCTTTAATCTGGATCTTTTTAGATGCTATACCTTCTGGCAGCAGCCTATCTAAAGGATATGGAAGGAGGAAGCATGCTTGTCTTAAATTTCACTGGCAAGTCCATTCAGACTACTTCTTTGGGATTCCAGTGGATACTGAATATCAGGTGAGAAACCCAGCCTCACAGACTGAGAAACTACTGGATTCTTGAACTCTCTGTTGGTAGACTGCCATTTTTGGACTAACTGGACTGCAGCCTGATGATTACTCTAATAAATTCCCTTGAGATAGGTAGGTAGATAGACACATGGATGGATGGAAGGAGGGAGGGATAGATGTCATCCCGTTAGTTCTGTTCCTCTAGAGAATTCTGACTAATATATCTAATAATAATCTGAAAACATGAATGTTCTTCACAAGTGACAGACCACTTAAAGTAATTCAACTTACTTCAGCGAGTTGTATCTTGACATACTCGGATGCACTTTCTAGAGATTGTATCGTTTTTAAAATGTCTGTCATCTGAAAATACAGTATCAGTCATTATATTTAATATGTCCCTTTTGCTCCAAGACAACATGCATTAGTTAGGTACATTGTTAATTTATTATTAATAAAAGTGAGAGGCCAGATGAAGAGGCCTTGTCAGCTTGCTTACCGTGTGCTCACAAGAATTTTATAAATTATGTGATAATAGTACATCTTCACAAATTGAATGTATCACGGCACTTTTCAGGTTCAAGATGAACCCACTAATTCATATTTCAATAATATCAGACATATCAAGATTTTCCTTATGCCAGAATTTAAAGAAAAAAGTTATAAATATTACAAGTTAATATATATATATATATATATGCACACATATTTCTCTTCACTATATTATTCTCTTCAGTATATTATTAGAGAGCCAAGTGTGGGGTTGCACACTTGTAATCCAAGCATTTAGGAGACACAGGCCAAGAAGGTCATGAGTTTGAGGCCAGCCTCAGTTATGCAGTTATACACACTGGGATATATTCTCAGACTGTCTCAACAAATGAAAACAATAAGAAAAAAGGAATGTGCAGAAACACTTATGATCATAAAATTTAAAGAGTAATAATTTGACAGAGGTGATGTCACATGCCTTTAATCCCAGCAAACAGGAGGCAGAGGCAAGTAGGTCTCTGTTAGTTCCAGGCCAGCCTGGTTTATAGAGTGAGTTTCAGAATAGCCAGGCCTATTATACAGAGAAATCCTGTCTCAAAAAACCAAAAAACAAAACAAACAAAAAAAAGTGAAAAGATCAGATGTGGAAACTGTTCTCATGGTCTTCTACATTCTATGTTTTACATACATGAGTTTCTTGTTTTGTTTCATTTTGCTTTAGTTAGATTTATTGCTTGGTTGGTTGGTTTTGGAGTTGTATTAATTTATTTTCATTTATTTACACTTTTGAAAATAGTGTGTCCTCCCACTGTCAGGCCAGGAGAGCATGGAAGTCTTGCCTCTTCCTCCCAAGTTCTAGGATTACAGGTTTGCATCACTATGGCTGGCTTACAAGGAATATTTGCATCAATATCACAGTATTATGTAAGATTCATAATTCTCTTGGAATACACAGGACTCACCAATTCATCTTGTTCATAATGCTTAGCTCTCTCTTCTTCTAGTTTCTTCTCTAAAAGTAGTATTTCATCTTCAAGTTGAGATTTATCTCTTTCTAGATTTTTATACATTGTCTACAATAGAAAGCTAACTTTAACAAGCCAGACATAAGAATTTTTTAGTTAAAGTAAAAATCAGATGATTATAATCAAACAAATTTATAAACACTGTATACATTTGTTCATCTCTCTGATATTAAAATAACAGCAGGCCTAGCAGCAGCCAGCAACTTATATGAAAAGATTAAGTATTGCACGCTCCCATAGGCTAACCAGGACAAAGACCACCCCAGAAGGAATTAATATGGTTACATTCCAATGAAACTTTTATGTACCAAGACAGAAGACAAGGGAAAATCCAGTAAGCACAGCTTTGACAGAAATGTCAACATTTCTAAAGTATGCTAAAAAGCATGTTACAGGGAGAAAAGACAAGTTCAATTAAATAGAAAAATAAATATAAAAATCAAGAGTATGTCATCATATTTTCCATTGAATGACATTTTGTATAATATTTTTAATTTAAAGTGATTAATTATATTATAAGATTGGTTTTTGGATGTTAGATACTATAATTAACATACCTATGTTTGTGATCCTTCAGCAAACTTGTTAAAAAGAACAAAACCAATATGTATTATAGTAGTCTCAAAAATGGATCTCTCGAAATTTGACTATTTCATTACAAGATTTCTGGCTTGAATCAAGATTACTCTACTGATGTGATGTTTATCTGCAAAGTCAACTCTCAAGCTTTGTAAAACTTGTATTACATTATAGTTTGTGTGCAACTATGATTACTACCCCTAAAGATGGTTTCAATTACTAAAATTAGATAATTTTCTAAGGTATTCAATGTAGCCAAATCTCAACTTATCTTACTCATAATGCTCATAAATTTGCTGTCATAACAAACGTGAGTTTATATTACCTGCAACACCAAGTCTGAATAAATATCTGTCTTTGTTACCCAATAACAACTTTCCTGTCAGTAAGCATGCCAAGCAGGTTCTAAAACTCTTTATATGTTTTGGATTAGTGTCTGTCTGTGTGTGTGTGTGTGTGTGTGTGTGTGTGTGTGTGTGTGTGTGTTGAGACAGATCTGGCAATCCTCCAACATTAGCCCCCCAAGTTCCAGAACCATAAGCATGCCCCACACTTGCCTAAATTTCTTTCATTCTGGGAAACTAATAAGTTCCCATTGGGATAGCACTTACAATAGAGGCTCTAAAAATAACACATAGAAATCACAAAAGGCTTACCCAATAAAACATAGCAACTACAAAGGGCTCTTGAGGATTTCATAGGTAACAAAGAAAAAATTAAGGAATGTATTTGGAATCTAAACTTCTTCTGGGTTCTACAAGAGCATTCTAAATCATTGGACAAAATTCCTACTGAGGACAGACAATGACAGAACTACCACACTGGACTGAACACCTAAATCAAAGGTACAAGGTCTGATTTCTATTTTATCACCAGCAGGAGCAGGCTGATTCTACTTACTATACAGGCTCACACTCACTTTTTACAGCCCTTCCATCTGCAAACAGTATCCAGGCACTCCATCACATCCTACTCTGTCTGCTAAGATGAATCATTGTGTCCTCTGAAAACAGGAGAGTTAATTCTATCTCTCCTAAACTCTCCAATCATGTTACTGACTGAAAACTGGCCATGATGGAGTGTGTAGACAGGGATTAAATATTTATCACCATGCCCCTATTTACAATGTAAACCTCTGGTCTAATTTTAGGTAATGCCTACTACCATGGTAAGAAAAAGATAATATGGTCAGGCCCTACTTGTCTCTTACTCTTATGCTTAAATTTGTGAGAGTTTGTGTCACCTTCCTGGAGCAAACTATGTCAAAAAAAAGGAATGGTCTTTTCAATGCACCCTTAGGAGTATAGAATAAAGGACTTTTTAATATAAATCTATAGATTCTGATAAACTGACTTTGTATCCCTAAAAACAAGGTAATAACAAGACCTGAAACTGTTTTGTTTTTTAATGTTTTATGCTACCTACAAATGCCATTTCCCCTAAGCTTTTCTCTAAAGTTTAAGATCCATATATACCATTTCATAATTTCTGAAATAATTATTTTTGAGAAAATAACCTATTTTAAATAAGAATCTTTTCCCTAACTTTTAAATCATAATTATTTTCCCTTCAGACTCTGCTTCTGTTGACGCCTTGTTGACCTCCTTTAAAGATGACTGTAAGCCTTCATACTGAATAAAACAAGACAACACATGAGTAAAAACTACAAATTTTATCTCAAATTGTATCTAAATAGATGCCAAAGAAGCAAACAGAATCTATCTCCACATATGTAAAATTCCCTTGGATTTTCTGAGCTTAGTTTTGCAATCTAACCACTGTGCTGAGCAAAGTCAGGACCGCAAACAAGCCACAACCACCAGCCTGGGCAACATATGGCACTACTTTACCCTTCTGACCAGCAAAGTTGTCCCAAGTCTGCTGGGGGTGAAAACTCTAACAGCAAGAGTGACTAAAGCATATCCGAAGAAGTGAGTTGTCTGTTATCCACTGAACAAATCAACAGCTTCTCCAGTCTTTCAATGGAGCCATGTGTAGTTACTGGGAATCATATTTACACCATGTGACAAGGCAAGAAAAGAAGATACAATCTAAGTTCCAGACCAGGAAGGAAGATGAAATCTGTGACCAAGACCAGGCTGATCTACAGAGAGAGTCCCAGGACAGCCAAGGCTACACAGAGAAACCGTGTCTCAAGTCTCAGCACCTCAGAATGTGTGTTATTTGGACACAAAGCCTTTAAAAATCAGTAGGTTCAAATAAGGCGGTTAACATGACCCTAACCTAACATGACTGGTATCCTAAGAGGAGAGCATTAGGACAGAGTGAGACACAACAAGCAGACAATGCTATTTGCAAGTCAAGGGACAGGCCACAGAGAAAGCAAAGCCTGCCTACATCTCCATGGACTCATTTCCAGAACTGTAAGGAAATTCACTCCTGCTGCTAAAGTGGCATTTTGTCACAGTAGCCCTAGCTAACTAATACAAAGCCCAAATGAAAACAGTGAATAAAGTCTCTACACCATAACAAGTAACAAAGTACCTTTACATCCTTGATAGGTGAAAATCTCATGACACATTACACCACATTAAATTGTAATTCTAAACCTCAACCTTCTAAGGCACCAAACAAGACATAAATATAAGCCACAGATTAGATGATATTTACAATCAATATATATCTGACAAACCTCTTATACATAAGATATAAAATATTAAAAACAAAAGCCCTTCTTCTATATGATATAAAGGGACAAAGATTATGAGTGCCTTTAAAAGGGTGGAAATGGGCCAGAGAGATGGCTCCATAGTTAAGGAGCTTGCTGCTAAGTCTAATAACCTGAGTTCAACCCCAGGGACCCACTTGGTAAAAGGAGAAAGCAACCTCCTCTGAGACCTATGATCACCACACAAATGCCTTCTGGGTACATGGGCACACACACAGAGAAACAAATAGACATACACAATAATAATAAAGTCATTTTTAATGTGAAAAAGACTTAAAAGGCAATTTCACAATATCTAAATGAGCAATGAGAAAATCAAGGTGCTCCCACTCCTTAGTCAGGGAAGATAAGCACTATACATCACCAAGAGGACTCCAAAGATAAAAGGCTAAGTGATGAAGGTGAGGAGCAAGGGAACTCTGCATTGAAACAAAGCCTGATGGCACTGAATAATCCATGGAGAACCATTAAGTGCCACACTACAATGGATGTTATTTTCATTCTTACCTCCTTTTGAGCAAGGCTCACTTTTTCAAGTAGTTTACATTTCTCTTCCATTAGCACAGAAAGTTCAAGAGCGAGTCTTTTCTCTCTTACTGAGAAGGCAAAGTAAAGATTATTATGACTAAAGTGTTGTCACTTTTTTAAAATATATACAACCACAAGATCTAAAATCAAAATGACTACTTACCAACATAAAATCGGCTTTGAATCTGAAACAAATTTTTAAGAAAATTATATTAAAACAAATATACCTTCAAGTAAATGTATATGAAGTCTACTCCCAGCTTTAAGATAACAACTTTCTTATGGCCTTGTGAATGAATTACCCAAAAGCATTCTATTTCCAATGAAAACAATGCTACATAGTAAGATCTCCCATTGAAGATTTACATTGTTATCATATTGAAGCCTTTGAAATAGCCTAATTCTAAAAACACCAGTTTAATTCCACTTAATCCTATGTTTCCCACACATATATTTGGCCCTAAAACAAAGTATTTTAGAGATCTCCTATTATTAAGTCTCCTACTGTGAATAATCAAAATAAAAGTCTATGAAATATCATGGGGGTCTAGGCCTAGACTGACTCTAAAAAACTCATTAGCCTTTGTCTTCTTTAAGCTTCAGCTCTCAATGAAGAAGGGAGAAATCCACCCTTGAGAGCACTGGGGCTGGGGAAAAGTGATCAAGGGAAGCAAACAAAAGACTTCTGCCACCTACACAACAGAGACAGAAAATCAGAAGAAAAAATAGAAAGACAAGATAAAGTGGGATGTGTGTAAACAGATATAAGGACAACACGAGTAGAGGGTCTCCATGAAGAAACTAGAAAAGAAGTCAGTGCACAAGGGCCAATATCTAAAAAGAAGTCTCAGAAAGAAAAGGATATGGTATGACTCCCTCCTAAAAAACAAAATTAACTATAGGAAAGGCAATAAAGGATCCAGGACATGTGTACCTCTACACAGCAGGCCAGAGGATGATATCAGGGATTATTAACTGAATATAAATGGCAGTAGTGTTTTTGTTTTCTAAGTGGGGAGGTAGAAACATCTGCTGGCAACACCTACCCCCAAAAAAAGAAGAAAAAAAAAAGAAAGAAGATTGGGGCTTTAGTACTAGTATATAGTATCCCTAAAAAGAAAATCCTTTAAAAATCCTTACACACAAAAATATTACTCTAAATCTGTATTCAGTTTATAATAACTGCATATTACCACAAGTAACCCAGAACACTATGACATGATTTATTTCCCTGAAATAAGTTGTCCAGTCTAAACACAGAATGAGGGTTAGAGAGATGGCTCAGTGGTTAGGAGCACTTGTTACTCTTGTAGAGGACCAAGATTCAATTTCCATCACCCACACTGTAGTTCATAATCATCAGTAACTCCAGTATCAGGGGATCCAACAATGCCCTCTTCTCACCTCTGTGTGTCCCAGGAACATGTGATACACATACAACATACATACAGAGAAAACAGTCATACACATAAAAGAAAATAAATTTTAAAAACCCAGATGACCATTCTCTTACTATGAGTGGTTACTTACTGATCGGAAGCCTCTCCAAAGAAGTACAAAAACAGCAAGCAGTCCAAGAGTAAGCACACATATCACCAATTGGAATGATGCCCCACTAGAATCAAAGCTTGCTGTCATATCTTCCGGCAGTGCTGCCACAACCTTCAAGACAAAGAAGTTGGAAACCTAGAGAAGATTGAGTGAGAAAAGCTGAAGAGGAGGACGACACAAGGGGCCAGCCATGCAGTAAGAAGAAAAGACATACAGAATAAAGGAAGGAAAAAAAGCCCAGAGGCAAAACATAGTTAAAGAGAAACGGGATAATTTAAGTTAGAAAAGCTCACTAGAATAAAGTTCAGCTAAGGCCAGGAGTTCATAAACAAGGACTCTCTGTATATTTACTTGGGAGCTGGGTGGGAGACCCACAAAAAGTTATTATTTAAAAAAAAAAAAAAAGGCAACTACAACAGAATGTCAATGACCTGGGTTTCCTGCTTTTTCCTGACTTCAAGTTCATGATTTGTCTGTACACACTGGGATTGACAAACAGATCTGCCACTTGTCGGGTGGGAAAGGGAAGTGTCAGAAACAACAGATTTGGGATTTAAACCTTTCCCTCCTGTTTCTTATCTTGAGTTAAAATAATGCAGTTTGAGCCCAAGAAGAAAAGTGCTCTTTGAAAAACAACCCTAGAAATGATGGGCTTGACTCTTTCAGGCATCAACACAGACCCTCTGGAACGTGCACAGCAGTCTTCTCCTTGTGGGTGGGACAAAATAGAAAACAAATCCTATGATAGTTACTCTCTATGACATCTGTTTTTAGCTAGTCCATCGACAAAGTCCCCTTCCAGGCTGCTATCTACAGTTTACTAACTTCTACCAAATAAATACATGCAATATTATGCTCTGGCCCCACCTTAGGTGTCCTCTTAAGAAGTTTCATCACCAAGAAACTCCAGGTTCCTGGAGTCAGACGAACTACTTGTAACTGACCCCTATCCAAAACCACCTTGCCTTCCAGATCCCAGGGTCCCCTTCCATGGGCTACAAGCAACAGTCAAGCACAGGCATGATGGGTGCCCAAGCTTGGCTATCCCTGCCAAGGCTGCTCAGCACCACAGGGACGCACCCAGGACCCGCGGCTCCTGAGCCCAGGACTCACCCATTTCAGTAGCTCCAAAATCCATTGCACACACACCACAGAGGTCCAGGGCCCCGACATAACTGAGGCCATGGGTGGAGGCCCCGTAGCAGGCCCTCTAGCCAGCAGCACACCTGGGCTCAGTAAACTGGGTGCTGGGAATGGGTAGGCTTTGGTGGGATCGCACCACTGCTGCCCTGTTGGAGGAGCCCTGGTTGCACCCTTAGTCTTGCAAGCTAGGCAGAGAGGCCCCCTTTACCTCCTTAGCTCTGGGGACACTTCTCTGCTAGCACTGAAAGGGCCCACACTGTGCCCTCCAAAACCGGAGTAAGGGACAGCTAGAGCACGAAAAGCTGAAACAGCAAGTGTGGGGCTGCAGCCCTACACCCCGAGGACTGGGGTCCAGCCCCGGAGGGAAAACTCCCAGTCCCCGAGTCCCAGCTGCTATTGCACTCTGTCCTATCAAGTCTAAAAACCACACTGTTATGGAGAACTAAAAGCTGAAACACGGAGTTTGGGGCTGCAGCCCTACACCCCGAGACTGGGGCACAGCCCCGGAGTGAAAGCGGTCAGCCCCCTGGCTAGTCTCAGCTCCTATAGCACTGTCCTATCCTCTCCAGTACAAAAACCACACTGTGGAAACCAGGGGCAACCCTCCCTCCTATGCAGAGAAACTGACCTGCGTCATAATCCAGGTCACAATATAGTCTGGCGCACCAGTCCAAGGTTCAGAATTCTGGACACCGAGACGTCAGAGTTTAACCTCTTCTGGTCAAGCACACTTCATGTCTAGATATTTCAACCAAGATAGTTAAGGAAAATATAATTGCCAATATTTACTAAGCCCACGAAAATAAGCATACTTAGTAGGTTTCATTAAATATTCTATAGAGACTCAAATATCATGCTCCAATTAGTAAATTATGTTTTCAATTTCCTAATTTCTCTGGTATAATTTTCAGTGGAGGATATTTCTTTTTGTTTGTTTCCTGGTTTGTTTGTTTCCTGGTTTGTTTTTCCCCGAGACAGGTTTTCTCTTTGTAGCCCTGACTGTCCTGGAACTCACACTGTAAACCAGGCTGGCAGAGAACTCAGAGATTTGCCTGCCTCTGCCTGCCTTGTGCTGGGATTAAAGATGTGCTCCACCACTGTCAGGCTGCAGAAACTCCCACTCAGTGTTCCTGAAACGGCTCACGGAATCTTTTTGTTGTTATTGTTGTTGTTTTGGTTTGGTTTGGTTTTTCAAAACAGGGTTTTTCTGTGGCTTTGGAGGCTGCCCTGGAACTGGCTCTGTAGACAAGGCTGGCCTCCTACTCACAGAGATCCTCCTGCCTCTGCCTCCCTGGTGCTGGGATTAAAGGCGGGAGTCACCAACCCCAGGCAAGGAATCTTTGTTTTAATTTACTCTTTTACGGATTGAATTTGTTTTCATGCATATTTTAGTGCATTCTGCTTACTCTCCCCATCACCTCCTTTTGTTTCCCTCTCACCCAAGACCCCTCCCACTTCTTCCCTGAGCCCTTCCAGAATTCATGCTGTTTTGTTTTGTTTTGCTTTGGGATCCACTGCTTGTATGCAGGACTATCAGAGTGGCCACAAGTTTGGAACTATTCACTGGAGCCTGATGGGCTCACTACCTGGTAAAATACTGAAGGCAATAACTGTCCCTCCCTCACCACCAGAGTCCATCAGTTGTCAAGCATACAATAGGAAGAGAACTTAAAAAATAAAATAAAATAAAACTATATTGGCCGGGTGGTGGTGGCACACACCTTTAATTCCAGCACTTGGGAGGCAGAGGTAGGCAGATCTATGTGAGTTCAAGTCCAGCCTGTTCTACAAAGTGAGTTCCAGGACAGCCAGGGCTACACAGAGAAACCCTGTCTAGAAAAACAAATAAAAACAAAACCTCATTTGGGAAAACAATTTTAAATTTAAATATGGAATGTCAGAAAATGTTCAAACATTTTTGTCACCTGTGAAGTTATCTTTGCAATGTTTTTTTATAGAGACTGCATTAGAAAAGGGTTCTCTAGAAAAACAGATCTGATGGAATGAATCTCTCTCTCTCTCTCTCTCTCTCTCTCTCTCTCTCTCTGTGTGTGTGTGTGTGTGTGTGTGTGTGTGTAACTGACTGTAATGACTTAACAGCCTGCATGGAATTGAAAGTTCAAGAATCTAGTAGCTGCTCAGTCCCAGGAGAAAGGGTGTCTCAGCTGGTATTCTGTGTATGCTGGAATCCCAAAGTAGGCTCCAATCCAGTGAAGGAATGGATGTCTGAAGGCAAGTACAAGCAGCAAAGAGCCAAACCTTCCTTCTTCCTGTCCTTATTTAGGGTTGCAGAAGAATGTGTGGCCCATATTAAAAGTGTGTCATCCTGACTCAAGATCCAGATCAGAGGTGTGTCTTCCGGATTCAAAGGTCTGGACTACAAGTGGAATCACCCATTTCAAACAAAGCAGAACATCTCTCAGAGGTACTAGCTATATTTCTGGATTATAGTTCACTCCAAATATTGTCAAGCTGACAACCAAGAATGCCGGCCACAGAGATGTACACTAAAGTGAGGCTCCAGAAGTCTATGGCTCTCAAAAAATACTTAATGATTTTGAAATTGAATTTCAAATCCAAGTCTTCCTTTCCATATTTACTCTTACCATTTAATGCTCATAGAATGCTCAAAAAGGATAATAATCACATAGAATTTTATAGGCAAGGGTTCAGACCTATCTTGAATATATTTTTATTAAAAGTACCAAGTGAGCAGATGGAAATTCAGAGGTAACAGGATGCTACTATTAGCAAAATGTACCAAATGAAATGTGAGTGGAAAGGTCTGCTCTCACAGGGCTAAAAACATCTACAACAGCTCATTTCTTAGTGTGTCCAAGAGACTGTTCCAACCCTTTGAAGCAGCAGACTCTGTTAAGCAGTCCCCAATTATTACATCAAATCTCTTACTCCTTTCTGATTTTGCTGCCTCTTACAATTTGAATGAGCTATTTCGAATGCTGAGAATCTGAGGGCCTGTGTCTCAACAACTCCTTTCTGTGGGGGACAACAAACTAAGAAAAGCTCTCCTCCCCTACTTGTTCACAGGAGTACCATTTAACATTATAATACTTATTTTAACTCTCTGTTATTTTTATATACAGGGGTACATTGTTAATGAGGTGTACGGACACTGATACACAGATGATCCCAGTCTATGGGGCTCTCTTCAAAAACACTTCAATGACTTTATGAAGCTAAAAAGCAAAACCTGTCTCAACTCCCTAATTTGCTGTTCTTACCACTAAATGATCAGTAGCTACTGATAAAACATACTAATTACACACAACTTTTGCATATGAGGTCCAGAGAGCCTTTAAGTCTGGTTATCTGCCCAAAAGGTGAAAAGCCTTAGGCTTTTTGCTTCCTGCCCCTCTGAGGGCAAAGGTTGGTACTGTCATCACTAATGTCTATACCCTCTGGCACATAGTAGGCTCTTAATATTTAGAAAGACAATAGTACCCTGTATTTTCTTTAATCATCGCTTTGGGTCTCAAATTATAAAAACTCTTCCAAGGCTGCCTCACAGATAATACTACATTACCGTGGATTTAATTACTTCACTCAAGTATAAGATTTTTTTTCTAATTGAGTTTTATATCCAATTCTCTATCAGTTTGTAAACACATATAAGACTTTACAATTTCCTAGAGAGAAACTCTGATCGTGTTCATAGCAGCACTCCCAACAAGTCTGATTAGCCTCTCTTCTAAGTGATATTTCTGTTAACTTTGGGGAAGATAAGGTCAGTTTTAAGGGTTGGAGCCTGTTTGGGAATGCACAGACTCACCCATCTTCTCTACAAGCACTACTTCTTGAGCAGTATGAATTGGTCAGTCACCACATTTTCTTTTTTTAATTCTATAAATGAACTTTTTAAAACAAGGAATAATCAATGAGCTCATCAAAATGAAAGCTGACTTATATAGTATTTGTGACTTGCTGGGAAACATTTTCTTTCAAGGT